CCTGCCCGTCACTCCCCAGCCCCACCCATCATTCCTCGGCCTGCCTGTCACTCCCCAGCCCCACCCATCATTCCTCGGCCTGCCCGTCACTCCCCAGCCCCACCCATCATTCCTCGGCCTGCCCGTCACTCCCCAGCCCCGCCCATCACTCTCCTGCCCCACCCCTCGCTCCCCGGCTGCTTGCATCAGTCCTCGGCCCCGCCCATCATTCACCTGACATGTACACCGCTGACAGATGTCGTCGGGATCAGTGAACTCCTGTCCACTGTCATAGAGTCGCTGGTTGTATGTGCAGTGGTCACACGTAGCACAGCAGCTGCCTGCGGGAGACCGAGGTCGTTACACGTCTTGACCCCCCACCCCCCCCAAACAGGTTGCACTCACCATTGAGTCGGCTGGGATGCAGGCAGGATGCTGGGGGGCACGCTGACACCCGACACATGGGCTCCCCATCGATACATGTACAGCTGTTGCAGGGCTGCCCGTCCGGCTGCCACTGTGTGCCCTCCTCAAACTCCATCCCGTCCACCACACACACTGCAAAGACAGAGGCAGGGCTGAAGCCGCACTGGATGATCATTATCTCCATGACTTAATGATGCAGCTGGAGCAGTCATCAGCTCCAAGCCCCGGTTCCTCTCAGCCGGGATGACACTGGTACCGTACACTCAGCCACAACCAAGAGCCCGACCTGGCAAACCGATTGCAGCTTTCTGAAACTCCAGGAGCAGAAACCACCCACAGGAAATAGACTGTGAGGAGACAGGCTATGCGAGTGCCAGGAGTGGCTAAGCAGCTGCAAGCGCGGCTGGATCCAGTGCAGGCCATCAGTGTTTGAGTTCACAAGCAAACAGAACAAGGAAACAAGCTGACAAACAAGGCTGGCGTACTGGCTTGTAAATCTGAGACATTTAACACAAGCTGAAACTGACAGTTTGGGCAGTCAAATGGGTCAAAATCTCAGATGGTCAGAACAATTAGTGCAGAGCTAAGAGACAAAGTCATCATAAACAGCCACATAAGCAGATTAATTAGATAGAATGCATGGAGTTTCCAGGAAAGTGTATCAAACCAACAAGAGTTACAAAGATCCAAAGCAGTTGGGAGGTTTCTCTACAGACTGCCACACAGCCGAGAGAGTTCTCTACACAATGAAACACAGCCAATGTTTCTCTACAGACTGAAACACAGCCAAAAGGTTTCTCTACAGATGGCNTGAAACACAGCCAAAAGGTTTCTCTACAGATGGCAGCCCAGAAAAAAAAGGTTTCCCTACAGATGGCCATACAGCCAAGAGGTTTCTCTACAGACAGCTACACAACCAAGAGGTTTCTCTACAGACTGAAACACAGCTAAGGTTTCTCTACAGACTGAAACATGACTGAAAGGTTTCTCTATAGATAGAGATACAGGCAAGAGGTTTCTCTACAGACAGGAACATAGCTGACAGGTTTATCTACAGATGGCAGTGCAGAACAGGACAGCAAAAAGGTACCTTTACAGAAAGGACAACATAGCTGGGGGTCGAGCGCAGGGCTGCGGCACTGGACTGCAGGACACTGCTGCTGGTGACAGCTCACACTGCCATCCTGCGAGGGACATATGCCTCAGTGAAACAACACCATCTTGAGATGTGTTTGCAAGCACAGGGACTCACCTGGCAAGTACACTGCAGACAGGGGTCGATCCCCGGGGGCGTGAAGGTCTTGCCGTTCATGTAGACCCTACCCTCATACTCACATGCTAAGAAGGAAGAAACACAGTGGCTGTAGTCAGATATGCTTTCATCTTGAGAAATACTCCAGAAGACACTCTCAGATATTATTCTGAAGAGTACACCAGACACTATGAAAGCCTTTCTCAGGTATTATTCTGGTGAGTATAGTGATTAATGCCAAATGAGACACAACGTTAATGCATACCTCTGTTCAGAGAGTCAAGTCAACCTCACAGGCAAATTCAATCACAGAGCCTAGACTCACCATCAAATGCAAAATCAATCACAGAGCTCAGACCCATTGTTAATAATAATAATAATAATAATAATAATAATTTGCATCACGTACTATCCTTATGAAGATGGTACAAACAATTTGTGGAGGTGCACGATATATCATTTAACCAAAAACCTAAAACATCCGATATTTAATCGTTATCAGTATTCAAAGTTAGCAGCATTAGAGCTACTACTGGAATAATGATGATTGCATTGAGCGGCTGGCCATTTTCCATAGCTGACGATGAGGCTGTTAGTCAGTTCCTTCTAACTGACTTCTCCTTAAGTATGAATGCTGAGCACTTCTTGCACTGCTGAGATCAGACTTACTGTCACAGGAGGGGCAGCACTGCCCCTGTATTCTGGCAGGATGGCTGCAGGCCGGGGGGGCGCAGTTTGAATGCAGGCGCTCACAGGACACCAGGCCAGCCTGTGCAGCAAGCCACAGATCACGGGACATTTCCAGCACATTCTTGACTCCTGATTATATCATTTTAACACGTCCTGCTGTTCAGACAAGTAAGAGGTGAATTGTGAGGCTCTTATGATGATTACTGTATGATCACAACTAATTTTCACCTCTGTGATTCTACCAAAACACATCATCCATCAGGTACATCAGAGAGGATTGGGAGTCACAATTCAAAATATCTTAAAAACTGTGTATGGCTTTCAGCATAGTGAATCATAGAACCACCCTCCACATCAAAGCAGGCCATGAAGACACACCAGGCAGTGGCAGCTCACGCAGGGGTCCAGGGAGGAGACAAATTTCTGCCCGTCAGTGTAGAGCTGAGAGTCATATTCACAGCCATCGCAGCTATGTGAGTCAAAAAAGTGATGGAGAGAGAGTGAGACAAACAGAGAGACAGACAGTGGGACACACTCACAGCCATCATACTAATATAAGTACAGTGCATTATTTACAGAATAGTGTGGTGTGACACAGCATAGCATAGTATAGTGTAGTGCAGTATGGTATAGTATGGTAGTAGTATTACACTTGTTCTCAGACACACCACTCTAGACCATGTTTACAATAACAGACCCTCTTCCATACAACATTACACAGTAATGCATGACACTTCCATTGCGAGGTGCAAAGCCCTCCGGCTAAAAGCCTGAGCCATCTGAGGGTGTTTGTACCGTGGACAGCACTCTCCAGGTCGGTGTACCGGGTTCCGGCAGGGTGTCACAGAGCATGGGACAGGGGCACAGCGGAGGTCTCCTCTCTGCAGATGCGACAGAAAGAAAAGAGAGATTAACAGATGATCAAGTCGGAAAATATAGAAAGTTCCAGAGTGTGACTGACTTACCACACACATGCACTCCTGGCAACGATTCGCAGTGGGAATCTGATCCCCAGACAGAAATTCCAGACCATTCACACTGCAACCTGGAGCAAAGGCAGTGGTCAGTACAGACACACATACCACACAGAAGGATGTCAGTGCTCCCCCACCACAAAAAAGCTCACCATCACAGACGGGACAGCAAGACCCTGGCAGAGGGCTTGCAGGGTTCTTGCAGTAGATGTTACACTGCTCCTCCACACACTGAACCTGGCCCTCCTGACAAGAAGCCAGGGAGAGTCACAGTGAGGGACTGTGAGGCACTGTGACTCAATTCCCCTTTCTCAGATATTACTCTGGTGAGTATACAGGATGCCCTGAAGTCTTCTCTCAGATATTACTCTGGTGAGTATACAGGATGCCCTGAAATCGTCTCTCAGATATTACTGTGGTGAGTATACTGGATACCGTGAAGTCTTCTCTCAGATATTACTCTGGTGAGTATACAGAATGCCCTGAAGTCTTCTCTCAGATATTACTCTGGTGAGTATACAGGATGCCCTGAAGTCTTCTCTCAGATATTACTCTGGTGAGTATACAGAATGCCCTGAAATCGTCTCTCAGATATTACTCTGGTGAGTATACAGGATGTCCCGAAATCTTCTCTAAGATATTACTCTGGTTAGTGTACAGGATTCCTTGAAATCGTATCTTATATTACTCTGGCGAGTATACCTTTAAACCTGGGGCACCCCAAAAGCCTCTCTTAGATATTAGTAACTTGTGATGTCAGGGGCACAGCACAGGGCACAGCCATCCTACCGAACACGTGCAGATGGAACACAGTCTGTGCTGGTGCCGCCAGGTTGAGCCATGTTCATGGAGGCCTGCGCCATCCTGGCAGCCTGCAGGGGGACATTGAAGCGTTATTGAACAAACCCTCACTAAGAGATAAGGTTACTGCACGGCTCTGTCTGGCATGAAGTACAGAAACATTGGTGAATAAACAGATTCTGTATCAGATTCAGGCCTAAATGGGGGGGTGGGCGGCCCGGCCTGTAGCCTACCCAAAGGGGGGGGACGTACCTTTAAACCTGGGGCAGCAGATTCAGGTCTAAATGGGGGGGTGGGCGGCCCGGCCTGTAGCCTACCCAAAGGGGGGGGACGCACCTTTACACCTGGGGCAGCAGATTCAGGCCTAAACGGGGGGGATGGGCGGCCCGGCCTGTAGCCTACCCAAAGGGGGGGGACGCACCTTTACACCTGGGGCAGCACTCCCCGTCAACAGTCTCGACAGCTGTACACTGCAGAACAGGACAGCGTGGGGTGATACAGACCACATTCCCAACCTTTTGTGTGGAGCCCAAAAGGGGGGGGCGTGGGACAGTGAGAGAGAGGGAGGGAGGGAGGAGAAAGAGAGGGAGAGGGAAAGAGAAAAGGAGAGAGCGAGAGAGAGGGGAGAGGGAGTGGGGGAGACAGAGGGAGGGAGGATTGGAGAGAAAGAGAGAGAAAGAGAGAGGGGGAAAGACAGAGAGAGAGAGCAGTGAGTACGTCCTAACAGATCCCAGCACAAAGCACAGCTGACAGCCACAGGAAAGCCCCAAAGCCGGCTGCGCCCCCCAGGCTCTACAGAGGGGTGTCACTGACTGTGCAGGTGCAGTGTCTGCACACTTCCTGCTCGTCCAGGAAGGACACCCCGTCCAGGAATACGCGGCCTCGATAGACACAGCGGGAGCAGTCCAGGCAGCAGGGGTCCAGGGGAGGCTTCAGCCCATGGCTGCAGGTTCGAGGGCAGAGGTGAACATCAACACAGGATAGATTACCTCCCTGAAAGGAGAGAGATGCTTTCAGCAATGACAACCCTGCACAGATCTATACAGTGCATTTCAGCAGGGTGCAGAACCAGGGGTGCATTACTGAAAACACACAGGACACATGCCCACTCTCTCTCTCTCTCTCTCTCACACACACACGCACACACACACACACACACACTCTTACCAGCCTAATTAAGTTAATTGTTAAGTTGTAAAGCAGTACTTTGTGCAGAACAGACTCATATGAAAAACAGAGCAAACCCCCCCCTTACGGAACACCTCTCGTATGCATTTCTCAGCCTACACACTTTTCCAGCCTGTGAATGGCGTGGGTATACCGACCTGACAGCTACAGGTCTGACAGCCGTCGGCGGTGGTGAAGGGGTCTCGGGTTGGTCGCCCGTCCAGATCACACGCTGCAGAGAGACATTTCAGTCATTCAGCGGCCTGCTGTGTGTGCTGACAGCGACACGGTCAATGGCAGTGGAACCATGGAGTAATTGCAGGCCTGACCAGAGATGTTCCACATGGCAACGTTTGTATCTCTGTGCACCTGAGCACGTAGGGCAGCACTGGCCACGTATCTGGACCGGGTTCGAGCACTGGGGGCGGTGACACTGTACCGGGGAACATCTCACCAGGCCGTCCTGAGACAAGAGAGCATTCCAGTGTGTCAGGTGACCTTCCAGGACCTCACCATACACATCAGCAGAACTTTCATTTTATTTTATTTTAAATGTGCTTTTATCCAGTCCCTGGGTTAAGGGTCCAACAGCCACATCATTCTGCCAACCATGGAATTTGTGACCATCTCATCACAGGTACAGAGTCCTAACCCACTGAGCCACACACCACCAGGCAGAACTCAAGACTCATGCAAGAGAAGATCTATCATGATGTCAGTGATAAAGGATAAAGGAGAAGAGTCGGAAGAAGGGACTTACAGAGCACGAGCAGTTCATACAGGGGTTACTCTGAGACACAAACATGGTGCCGTTTTCGTAGACTTTCTCTTCATACTCGCAGCCTTGGAAGGAAAAGGAATTCTGTCAGGGAATTTACTGATATCGGCACCATTTGGCGCGAGGGCCCTCCAGCCCCGGCCTTGGCCCCGGGGCCCACAGCCAGTGCAGCCCGACCTGTGAGGCAGACGGGACAGCATTCCCCAGGGGACCGGTCCTGCTTCGGGCAGGACAGGGGGAGGCACTGCACCTTCTCACACTGTACTGCGCCACTCTGAGGAGCAGAGCACATGCCGGATTAGTGGCCATGACCTTCACATGTCCTTCACCACCTGCTCCAGGCCACTCTGAGTGCAGATGCTCAGCATCCGGCTGCAGCTCCCAAAACCCTTCCAGTCGCTTCCTATTAGTTAATCAGCAGTATACGCAAAAAGTAAGACGCACTTAACCGATCCCAGGGGGAGGTACTGGGGCATGGAGCAGCAAGGTATGTGAAGTGCAGACCAAGAAACGCACAGTGCAGCTACTCAAAGCTTACAACGCACAGTGCAACTACTCAAAGCTTACAAGTAACACAGACAAGTGCAGATACATTTTAATAATAATAAAGAGAACATTCTGAACAGGCATATAAAGGACATAAATAAATAAAAATGAAAAATATATAGTATTAATAATAATAAAAATGAATGAATGAAGCTCTGGTCATAGACGCGCAAAGCTGCAGCACGTCTGAGCCTCCGTGGAGCGGCACAGTCTACCTGACACACACAGCTGGAGCAGGCGTCCGGCCGAAATCCCTCTCCGTTACGGTACCTCTGACCGCCGACAAAGCAGCCTTGGGGGCAGACAGGGAGGGCAGCGCTGACAAACTCAGCTGGGGTATCAGCTGAGGCGTCACTGTGAGCTCATGAACAACAGACATACAGATGCTCTGCAACACACATGTATACTTTGTAGCCTTTCAGGACATTGATGTGTTATGTATCCAACTGTCTTGAAGCACCCATAGCTCAATTCATTACATAGACAGAATATCATCACACAGCATAGCATAGCATGGCATAGTAAGGCATTGCATAGCATAGCATAGCATAGCATGGCATAGTAAAACATTGCATAGCATAGCATAGCATGGCATAGTAAGACATTGCATAGTATAGCATAGCATGGCATAGTAAGGCATAGTAAGGCATTGCATAGCATAGCATAGCATGGCATAGTAAGACATTGCATAGTATAGCATAGCATAGCATAGCATGGCATAGTAAGGCATTGCATAGCATAGCATGGCATAGTAAGGCATTGCATAGCATAGCATAGCATGGCATAGTAAGGCATTGCATAGCATAGCATGGCATAGTAAGGCATT